CAGGGCAGGGCAGGGCAGGGCAGGGAAGGTCAAGGGGTTTCCATCATCCCAGGACCAAAGGTAAAGAGGAAAGCCCCCAGTGCACGTTTGAAGTCCAGATTGTTCATTCCCAAGAGCAGAATGGTTATTCCAACAAATCCGTTTTGGGTTTTGGGATTGGTTGGGGTTTTTTTTTTTTAGGTTTCCAATTGTGACCACAATATTTCACCGAAGGGAAATATTATCCAGTCATTGGCAGAGAGACCGAGGTTGTGGTGGAGCACCGAGAGAGGAGGGGGTGAGAACAAAATAAATAAAAAGAAAATGGGAGGAAGAAATGAAAGAACGAGTTAAACTCCAGCGTGTCGGGCACGGACAGCTCTGGCTTCAGGGTACAACATCCTGTTGGGACACAGGCACGCACCCCCTGTGCTGGGTGAGGCTCTCAGCCCCCCAGCCCTGATGAGGAACTGGGAGGCTTTTCGACTATTTTGGGGCTTTTACACATTCAGGTCCCTGGCCTGGGCACGGCATCACCAGCTCAGGCAGATGGGTGGGTGGGGGACATGGGTGTGTGCTGCCATCATCCTCCTCTTCCCAGTCTCTTGCTGGGAGAAGAGGCCAATCCTTTTCTCTTCTCCCTCCCTGCTCCCCTTTGGACTTGGTATCCATTTTCCCAGGGGAAAACCTGCCCTGCTCATTTCCATCCCAGCTTCTGGATGACATTTGGATGAGAGTGACCGGGAGAAAAGCCTCTGTCCAAGGCAGCCACTCCCCATGTCCCCTCCCCGCACCACCACCCTTACACACGACCTTCAGCTCCTTCCAGCCCAGCACTGGGAGAGCTGGGGCAGGAGGGAGGGGAGGCTCCAAGAGGAAAGAGAAGAGATGGGATACACCTTTGGCACCGTGGCTGCTGCTGGGAGAGGTGCTGGGGACACGGGGGGACAGTGGGGACACAAGGGGGGTGGCAGGGACGCGAGGGGGGCGGTGGGATCCCCCCCTTACCGGCTTTCAGGAGGATGATCTGGTCGTTCTGGCAGAGCTCCATGAAGCCGTCGATGCGCTTGGCGAACTCCACCACGTACTGGATGGCGTTGGAGATCTGCAGCGAGCACTGCTGCCACATGGCCTCGCAGCTCTGCGGCACAGGGACGGCCCTCAGGCTGTGCTGCCCCCCGGCTCTGCCGCTGCCCCCTCCCCACCACGCCGGGGGCAGGGAGGGGACTCCCATGCCGTGCCAGGCGTGGTGGCATCAGGACACCCGGGACAGGAGCTGCCACCGCACCTTCCCCCCGACACTGGGCTTTTGCAGCTCCCGAAGCACTGAAGGACCCTCCTCGCCTTCACCCCCACCCCAGGGGACGCTGGCTGTGCTGGGGGGCCGTGGGGGCCGTGGCAGTGGCACTCACCTTGCTCTGCAGGGCACGGACCTCCTCGGGGGAGTAGAGGCTCCAGGCCAGGCGCTTGAGCTCCTCCGTCGTGTACTGGCACGTCTCCAGGTGAGACTTCACCACGTTCTGGGCCACCCGGTCTGCAAGGTGGGGACAGTGCTGGTGAGCCCCCTGCCCCCACACCCCACACCCGTCCTCTCCTGGGTGTCCTGGGGGGCTGCCGGGGCTGGGGGCTGGAGGGGGAGAGGGACTCGGTGCGGCGTCACGGGGGTGTGAGCACAGACAGAGTGCTGGGGGCTGTCCCCAAGGCACAGCAGGGGATGTTCCACACGGTCTCAGGTGTGCTGAGCTCCATCCGTGCTCAGCCTGGAGGGCTTGGGGCTGCTCTGAGAGCCGAGGCCGGGTCAGTCCCTCACTATCATAGAATAAAACCCCAGAATGGTTTGGGTTGGGAGGGACCTCAAAGCTCATCCACTGATCCACCTTGAAGCTCATTCCACCCCCTGCCACAGGCAGGGACACCTTCTGCTATCCCAGGTCGCTCAGGGTGTGCCTGGTGTGGGCACCCAGAGCTGGATGTGTCCTGCAAGGTGCTGGGGTGGCCCCGAGCACCGTCCCCAGGGCTGCACAACCCCACATCCCTCCGGGGCTGCCCTGGCGCTCACCGATCTCCAGCACGGAGATGTCGGGGGGCAGCTGCCCCCCCTCCAGCGCCCCGTGGGCGAACAGGGCCGGCTCCAGCATCAGCTCGTAGATGGACTCCTGCTTGATGAGCGTGGCGTCGGCCACGTCCAGGCTGGACTGGTCGGGTGAGGGCTGTGCCGAGGCCAGCAGGTCCAGGTTGTAGTAGGTGCTGCTGCCGTCGGGGGTGAGGGGGAAGTCGAAGAGGAGCCCGTCGGACAGCGTGGAGATGTCGTCCAGGTCCGAGAGCCCGCTGCTCACGCTCGTGGTGTAGACGCGGCTCAGGGGCTCGGGCTCATCCTTGGTGCCCCCGCTCTGCTCCTGGCTCTGCTGGTGCTTCTGCACCTCGGCGTAGAGGCTGTCCCGCTGCTTCTTGGACATGCGGCCGAACTTCACCGCTGCCCCGGGAGAGACGCGGCCGTGTCAGGGCAGCCTCGCCCCGGAGCAAAGCCGGGACCACCCCCCGGCCTGGGAAGGGTCCTGACCCCCGGGGCAGCCGCTGTACGAGCCTTGAGAGGGGCAGGGACCCCGCCGGATGCACCCCCCGCCCCAGACCAACCCTGGGTCGAGCAGAACAGAACCGATTGAATCGACTTCCCGCGGAAAACGCGAAAGCGTTTCTCGCTTCCCAAACCCTCCTTGCACCGGGCCGGCCCTGCGGGGGGAGCACCTTCATCCCGACAGCCCGACCGGCTCCGCGGGGGAGCAGACGGCCCCTGGGGACCCCGGGCACGACTCACCGTCGCGGGACATGCCCAGCGCCAGGCATTTCTGCAGGCGGCAGTGCTGGCAGCGGTTGCGGTTGGTGCGGTCGATCAGGCAGTTCCTCTGCCGGGAGCAGGAGTAGCTGGCGTTGTTCTGCTGGCTCCTCCGGAAAAAACCCTGCGCGGGGACGGGACGGGTTGGGAAAGTGCCCGGCTGGAATGCCAGGCCCCCGCAGCTGCCCCCACCCGCCGGCAGCCGCCGTCCCCGGGCTCACCTTGCAGCCCTCGCAGGTGATGACACCGTAGTGGATCCCTGAGGACTTGTCTCCGCAGATCTTGCACGGGATCACCTCGATTTGGGCTGGGGAGGAGGGGAAAAGGGGGAAAACCGCGGGGGTTAATGGTGGTCAATGCTGAGCAGGAGGAGGGAGCAGGACCCCTCTCCACGAGGGGAAACTCAGGCACAAGAGTTGGACCCACCGGCAGCTCAGCCCTTCCCGCAGCCCCTGCAAGGACGCTTCCACCTCAGAGAGGTCCTCAAGAAGGCTCACACAGGGTGTGGGGTACCCCCATCTGCTCCCCCATCCCCTCCAGCAGCACGAGACAGAGTAGGAAAGGCCTTGGAGCCGGGAGAGCACAGGATGTTTGTGCACCAGCCTGCCCAGGCCCCTGTTTTGGAATCATTCTCCTTGCTCTTCAACCAGTGTGTGCACCAGGACAGGGACACTCTTTGCACAGGGACCGTCCCCATCCCCGCAGCTGTGGATGCTCTCCTGCCACACAGCTGGACCAAGCAAAGGGTCTGGGCCCTCCCCATCCCCCCAGCAGCTCCTCTGAAACCCAGGACCGATATAGCCATCCCCAGCTCAAGGTCCCGGCCCCCTTCCCCCCGCAAATCCGCTTCCCTCCCCGCTTCTGCTTCGCTGGCACTGAGCTGCTAATAGGCTTCGTCCTCCTCATTTTCCAGCTGCCCCAGATCTGCGCTGGCTCTGCCCTCCCCACGCACGCCGGGGGGGACGCAGGGCACCCCCGGGACTCGTACGTGCCTCCCGGCATCTCTGCACCCTCTAATCCCCGCCGCAGCCCCGCACCCCCCGGCCGGGCCCAGCCCGGCGCTGCTCTCGAGGGTGCTGGGCAGGCGCCGCCGCGCCAAAATAACCCCCACGGCCAGATTATGGTTATTTCCAATCTCCTGGGCCTGTGCAAATCCCCGCTTGGGTAATTCCCTTCTGCCTCTCTTCTCCCCTGGGAGCCATCGGCTCTGGGAGAGGGATGTGTTTTTTGGGGCCGTCTCCGTGAGGGACAGTCCCAGTGCTCGGCCAGTGCCACTGCCCCCGGCACCCAGCGGTGCCCTGGGGTCCCTCAGTGATGCAGGGGGGGCTGGGCTGGGGCAGTGGAGTCTCCCTGGGCACAGGGGCAGCCAAGCTGTCATCAGTCCCCCAGGGCTGCCTTCGGCCCTCCACGGATGTTTTCAGTCCCCCAGGGATGCAATCGGTACCCCCAGGGGTGCAGCTGGTATCTCCAGGATGCAGTTGGTACCCTGGGGACGCTCATTCCCCCGGGGATGGCATTGGTCCCCCCCAGGGCTGCCATTACTGACCCTCTGGGGGCAGTTTGCTCCCGGCCACACTGGGGAAGGACTCGCTCCAAACCCAGGTGCAAGTGAGGGATGGATCCCTCCTGCATCCACTGCCTCGCTGCTCAGGTCCTGCCCCGAATGCACCAGGTGATTTGGGGGTTTACCCTTCCTTCCTAAGGTTGCTGAGCCGGGCTTCTCCCAGGGCTGTGTGTTGTTCCCCTCAGACTCAAGGTGGTCACATTCCTGCCCCAGCCCCTCCCCAAAGCTGCTGTCTGCACCTCTGCTGTGTTCTGGGCCTGGGGCAGCAGAGCTGGCAGGAGTGGGCAGGGAGCAGGCAGGGATGGCCAGAGCATCCTCATAGCCCCCTCAACTGCACTGGCATCACAGCCCCTTTGGCGGGGGGATGGAGGCATCGACAGGGCCCTGTGTGCCCACCCCCAAACCACCACCCGGCTCCGATGACCGACACACCCTCCAATTCCCTGGATCCTGCTGCCACCTTCACCCACGCCGCTGGAAACGGGATGCAACCCGCAAACGGCGGGGACCCCTCCCCGCCCCGCCGCCCTGCCCCAAGCCCTGCCCCGACCGCCCGGATGGGACAGAGAGGTGGTGGCATCGCGGGGGGCACAGGGAGGGGGTGCCACCCCCGGCAGGAAGCGGCGTCGGCTCGTTATGCAACGTTAATTGCAGCCGCCGGCAGCGCGGGTGATGCATCGCGGGCGCCGCGCCCTCACGCCCGCGGCCGATACTCCCGGTACCCGGAATTACCGGCACCGGGCTGAGCTCGGCCTGGCACCCACCGGCACCCACCCGGCACAGCCCGGGGGTGCCGCTCCGTGTGCCCCACAAAACACACCCGAGCTCACAGGGACGCCGATGCTTCGTGTGATGCCGATGGCCAAACCCTGCCCCTGCACCCACAGAGGGAGGGGACCCCCGAGAGCCCCCTGAGAGCCCCCCGGAGCCAGAGCTAAGAGTGCGTGGGGATGATGCTGCCCTGGCTCCTCCTGGCGAAGGAGAAGCCCTTCGACCGTCCGCAGCCTTTTGGGGCTCTAATTGCCATCCTGCTAATTACCCGGCCGTGCCCGCCACCGGCACCTGACCCGCTCGGAAGACGTTCGCCCCAAATAACTGACGTCGATCCGCGGCCGTAACCCCGGCGATGGCAATTACAGCCCAGGACGGCGCTTAATTGCTGCTCGGATCGTAAGCCCGGGCTGAATCACCAGCTCGGCTCCCTCGGTGTCCCCTTGTGCCGCAAGGTGCCCAACACCTTGTCCCTCCCGGGACCCCCGGGGCTGCCAGACCATCTCCCGTGGGACCCTTGAACACCCCCCTGGGGCGAACCCAGCAGGACAAGGAGGGATGTGGGCGCTGGTGGGGTGGCCACAGCAGCACCCTGCATCCCCCAAATCTCACTGTGATAAGGGGGAAACATCTCAGCAGACCCCACACTCCGGGTGTGCCCCCCTTCCCCGTGCCTCAGTTTCCCCACGGGAGCACTTGGCTTCTCCTCCCACCAAAACCCTGCGAGCATCAGCCACGCTGTGCAAACGGGGGTCGTTTAGGTGGGGGAGAACCCCTTCCCTCTGCCCGGGGGGGGCGGGAAGGGAAACTGCACCCTGGGGCCAACGGGGCTAAGACAGGGAGCAGGGGAAAAAAAAAAAAAACAACAAACCAAAACCAAAACCAAAGGGTTAAAAAAATAAATAACAATGATCCGCAGCCGGCAATTAAAATGTCCCGGCGGTGGTATTTGCTCTCCTCCCACTGTAAACACTTCTTGCCCAACTCCCGGCCCGCTGCCACCGGCCGGCCCTTATGTAAGTGGCCCCGTGGGCACGGTCCGACCACGGGGCTCGGCCGTGGCGGGGCGATGGCCCCCGGTCCGGCGGCTGCGCCGCGCTCGGAGCCATCCTGTCCCACTGACACACTTTTCTGCCCGTGGCCGCACGCGCTTGTGTAACCGCGGCCGTTAACCCTTCCCGGGGCCGAGCCGGGGCTCGGGGGGGCACCCCCACCTCCCGCCGCCGGGGAGGGGGGTTTTGGGGCGTTTTGGGGTGACCCCTCCAGCTGGGGACACGTGTTTGCTGCGCTGAGCCGCAGGGCTCTGTGGGGGACACGGGGCTGTCCCTGCACAGCCCCCAGGTCTCCTGTCACCCCCCCGGACCCGGCCGTGTGTCCCCTCCAGCCCAGCACCGCTTGGCCCGGACCAGGCTGGAGGCTCTGGTGGTTTCGGCAGAGCCAGAGCAGCCCTCCCCAGAGCAGGACTCGGCCTTCGTCCCGCGCCGGCACACCCTCCCCTCCATCGCCTCCGCCCCGAGGGCGGGCATCCCTCCCGCACCTCAAAACAAAACAAGGCAGGCCCTGCAGGATCCGGCTACGAAGGTCCGGACCCCTCCTCTGCGGTGCAGAGAGGATGGTGGCCGCATCCTCCTCCTCCTCCTCCCCCATCCCTCCCCTCGGCCATATGATCTCACTGCTGTGGGGGAATCACCCCAAAACCCTCAGCACCCCATTGAGCCCCAGGACATGCTGCAACCTCACTGCTGCTGGAGGCTTTTTGGAGCTGCCCCCTCTCCCAGCAGCTCCGCTGGGTGCCCCCAGCTTGGAGGTGAGGACTCCTGGGAGGGGGGTGTTTCGGGGGGCACTGGCAGGTCCCTGTCTGTGCAGTCCCCCAGGACAAACCAGCACCCCCCACACACCCACGGGGCTGGTGGCAGGATATGGCCACCCCCTCCCTTGGGGTGCCACCTGAGTCCACGGTGCCCCTTGCCAGAGGCAGGGGATGAGCATCCCAGCTCCGAGGGTTTCGGAGGTGGCTCCGTGCCCCTGTGGCCACCCCTGCCCCAAACACCCCCCGGCTGCCGGGGCAGGCGCTTCTCCAGGGCCCTGGCTCATTACCCAGCGAGCCTGCCGGGAAAGGAGGTCCGTGCCCCATCCCGCTGCCGCGCGGTCGATGCCGCGGGGCGGGCACCTCCGGTAATTAGCAGCAGCCCCGCAGCCCCCGGCACCCCCTGCCCCGACCAAGGGCACCGGGATGCTCCCACGCTTCACCACCACTGTCCTCCCCCCTCCCAGGGGGTTCAGCATCCCCCGGGGCACCCTGAGCAGGGGACGAGGCCAGGCTGCACAGGGACACGCGGGGACCTACAATGCCACCCCATCTCCCCGTCCCTTCCCTAAAACCCAGCTCTGCTCCTGCGTCTCCTGCAGCAACCTCTGACCCCGGGAGCGACTGCTCTTCCCCACAGCCTCCAACAGCAGTTGTGTTTTGGGACAGTGGATGTGGGGTAGGAATAAATAAGGAAATAAAGGGAATTATCACTCCATTACAGCTGCTGATGGCTTTGCTTTTAACCAGGCTCCCGTGCTGCAGCACCCCGGGGTCTCCCACACCCCGGCATTGGGGCCATGGCTGCTGGCAAATCCCATCCCCATCCATGCATCCCAGGGAACCCCAAAGAAGCCAGGCCCATGCTGGATGTTCACAGCCCCAGCTCCAGGAGCAGGGGCAGCAGCAGCACTGGGGCCATGCAGGCAATAAGGAAAATTTAGATGACACAACTGCGGCCCTGAGCCAGGCTGGGGTGATGGAGGTGGGAACTGGTTTCCTAATTGATTAGCAAAGATTTCCTGGAAACTTTGGGCCAGAACACAGCTCAGCTGCTCTCACCCTGCCCCAGGACAATCTTTGGCAACCTTCCCTCGTGGCCACGTGGCCAGGGGGCTTTGCATGCACCCCAGTCCCCAGCGAGGTGCTGTTTTTCCCTGTCCGTGGTGCAGTGTGTGTCTCCAGCTGGGAAGTCGTGGTGTTGGGTGGGCGACGTGGCTCCCCCACGGCCTCCCAGCCCCTGCCCCGGCTGCTCCGGTTCAGCAGCTCCCGTGCCACGCAGCAGCGTGCCAAGGCCAGCCCCGGTGGCGCAGGACGCAGCCCTTTGCACTTTGGCTGGCGCAGAAGGATGGCAAAGGTGAGGCAGCGGGGAGGGGGACCTGCTGCCAGCCCGGGGTGGGGACAAACCGGGCTGCGGAGGGAGAACCCCTCCAGCCCTGCGGCTAAATCGGGGGGAATTATCTCCCTGGGGCTAAATAAAGGCAGGAGAGCAGCTCTGCTCGCCACATCCGATAAACCCGGTGAGATTTAGACATTAGCAGCTCTTTAAATAGCCGAGTTCAAAGTTAAACGTGACAGAGAGGAGGGAACGGGAGGAGGACGGCTTGGGGCCAGGGACCACCATCTCCCCAACACCGCGTTTCACCCTCCGGGCGCTGCCCCTCCCTGGGGTTATCAGGGTCGAGGATCCCAAATCACGTCTGCGCCACTCAGGACCCCACAAAGCCGGAGGACAGCTTGCTCGTCCAGGCTTATTTTTGGGAAGTGACAGGCACAGCCATCCCGCGGTACCGGGGACAGGGGCAGCCGTCGTGCCGGGAGGGCCGGTGGGTGCCGGCCGCCCTCGGCCGCGCCGGCGAGTGCACGCCGCCGAAACGGGCAGGGAAGCTCCTCCTCCGCCCTCTCTGATTTTTCCAATGACAGATCTAGGTCACTAGGACAAGTCGCAAAGGCTGCCGAGCCACCGCACGCTGCTCGCCACGCTGCTTGCAAAACAAGTGAGCAGGAGGGCTGGAAACCGTATAGGATTATACAAGGCAAAGCCTCTGCCCCGGCCCCGGTGCATCCGCGGCGCAGGGAAGGACAGGGGCGAGGAGCTGCTGTGGCCCCCCGGGGAATGGGGCAGAGCAGGGGCGGTTTTGGGGAGGAAAATGGAGATTGAGTCAATTTGGCGTCGCCATGCGGCACTCGGGCTTCGAGAGATGAGGACGCAGGACTGCGGGAAAAACACCTCACTGGGGGAAACGGTGGGATATCGGGGGGGTTTGGCCCTAAATGAGGGTCAGCACGCAGTAATGGGGGGGGGGAGAAGGAAAAAAATTATAAAAAAAGGAAAAGTTCACCCAGTTGCTAATTAAGCTGGTGCCGGCTGTGCGAGTGCTACGTAAGAGCCGGCAGTGTCGGTAATTAGGCAGGCGTTAATGCTTCCCTCCGCACCAATAAAGGTGAAATCCCGGGACGTGGCGGGGTGGGAAGGGGGATGTGGGGGGCTCACCTCGGCCTCGCCCTCGCCCGCCCCGGCCCCACCGTTACACAAGAGTGCGGCGGAGCCGCAGCGCCCGCAGGAAACAGGGTCTGAGGAGCTCGAGGATGAGCCTCCTGGTACCTACACCCCACAAGGCACCCCCAAAACACACCTATGGAGGGGCATCACCGAGTGCTGGGGTGGCTTTAAAGGGGGGATGAAAACCCCAGCCCAGGGCGGGAGGTCCAGCAGCTCTGTAGGAACAGAGCTGGGTTTGGCCACCGCTGCGTCACCACCACCAGGCCCCAGTGGATCATCCCGCCGGAGCCTTCCTCCCTCCATCCTCCTCCTCCCCTCCGCCTGATTGGCAAAGCAGAGGGGTGACAAGTAGGAATTGCCTTTCATAACGGGAATAACCAGGCAGGTGCTGGCGCGACTCATCCCTGACCAGGACAAGGGGCACCCAAAATTGCACCTGGTCCTTTGCCCGTCCTCGCAGGTGCCTCCCAAACTGCCCCCCATGCCACGGGGAGGGGGAAAAGGGGGGAAAAAACCCACAATAAATCCAGCCCTGGTGGGACCAACATA